ATGTAATCACCCCCCTGTGTACTTACCCCCCTCGTGTACTCACTCCCCAGGTGTACTCATGTGCATGGATCCTGCACCACTTCTGGGACACCTTGGCCTTGAGGGGTGAGGGTGGGCCATGCCGGCTGGGAGCCCTGGCAGTGCCCCACACTGGGCCCAGCTGCGCCCTTCTGGTCTGCATTGAGCACTAGTGGGGCTGTTTCCTGTTCGGTCTGGCTCGAAGTCCCCGGGCCTCAGGCCTGCCCACCCTCCTGCCTCAGTGGGTGTGGCACTGGCTCCGTGCAGAGCGTCCGTCCCCACTCTGGGGGCCCGCAGGCCTGCACCCCAGAAGAGCGCTCCACGGATGCCTCTTCTTGTGAGCCTCAGGTGGAGGACTGGCTGGCCTTGGGGGCCATGCTGTTGTGTGGAGGCCACTCCAGGGCGACTGCGTCTGCCTGGGTGGGGTCGCCCCTCACTTCCCAATAGCCCTGACGCATTGTTCCCACCACACAGAGGCAGCCGTGGTCTGGCCAGGCCCTGAGCCTCCCAGAGGCCTCCCCAGCCCGGGATGTGTTTTATGACTTGGCACGGGACACTCAGCCCTCCACCCCTATGTCCGACCAAGCTGGCCCGTGGGGCAAAGGCAGCTGTGGAGTGGTGGGAGGCAGACGTGCCCGTCTGTTGGGGGAGCCCTTCACAGGTTATCCCTGCAGGCTCGTGGGTGCCAGCCTTCGCTCGCCCGTCCTTCCACGGTCCTCATGCAGCCTCGGGTGCCAGGGCCCCCAGCACCCCTTGCCGTGTGGCCCCTCACATCTTGCAGTCTACACTTCTCCCTGGGCCCTGTCCTGGGCTCCACTTGCTGTCCGGGTGCAGCTCAGCATCTCCTGTCTACACAGCCTGACACCCATGCCTGAGGAGGGCAGGGCGTCCGGGTGCTGGGCGTCGGCACCCCGCAGATGACCTCCAGGCACCCTCAGATCTGGTGGGATTCGTGACTCTCGAACCTGTTGTAGGTAGTGGAGGTTGGCTTCTAGTCTCCGGGGTTGTGTTCAGTGTCGTAGTTAGGATGCACATGCATACACACACACACACACACGCACACACACGCACGAGTGCTTACAGCTGCACAGCCAGCAGGAGGGCAGCACGAATGGCTCCTCCTCCCCAAGGACTGGAGCTGAGGTGCGAGGCGCTGTCTGGGGTCTGCTGGCGCCTGTCAGCCGCGGCTCCCTCGGAGCAGGAGGTTGTGGGTACCAGGGGGCCCGGCTGAGTCACCTGACTGAAACAGCTGTGTCGTGTATCTCCTGGACGGTCCTGTCTCACGTGTCCATGTGCACAAAGGCCAACACATGTGCACACGCATAATACTCATAGTGCACTCGCACAGGCACCCACACATACAGACCTACACATGCCAACATGTGCATGTGACAGCACACACACACATCACACATGTGTACAGGGCGTCTGGACCACATGTGTACAAATGTGCATGTACAAACACACACCTTTTCTACCTTGGAGCAACTGCCAAAAATATTTTGGGGCAGTCCAAAAATAACTATTATAATATTATTGTAGGAAATATTTCTTAAAGAATCACTTAATTTTATTTATTGTTATTTTTTAATTTGCTGTGGGTGCATGCACTCACCAGAGACAGACAGGGCAAGAGCGAGA